GTGGAACATAATTTCTGTAGCAATTATTAACAGTAAAATTGACAATTATCAGATGATTATGTAAAGCTTTTATATATCATTCATGTTTTTTTTTTCATCTATCAAATATTCATCCTAATATTTTGAGAGAGAGGAAAAATGAAGCGGGAGGAAGAGGAGGAGAAGGAAAAGTGAAGCGGGAGGAGGAGGAGGAGGAGGAAAAATGAAGCGGGAGGAGGAACAAAAGATGGGGTATTCTCTTAATGATCATTTTAATGAGGATAAAATTTTATTTTTATTTTATGCTTATCTTTTTTTCACTGTTTATTCCATGTTAATAATTATAATTTGTGTTTCTTTTTTTTTTCATCTATAAATGCAATATTTTTCTTTTAATTACTTTAATGATTATAGAGAAAAAGAAGTGAATCATTTGATTTAAAATATAAGCAATATGGAGAAACTTTTAGTTTTTTTTTTTTTAAGCAATAAATTTCTGAGTAATACAAATTTTACTAGCAATATTAATATTCAACTCTTTGAATTATTAAGTTTTGAAGTTATTAAGTTAGTAATGTTTGACAATTCTATCCATTTCTTATTTCACATTATCGTTTTTGGCATGTAATAACGCTAAAGATGGTTAATTATATATAGATATATATATGCATAATTGAATAATTTTAAAAATTCACCAAAATTTGAGAAACTTGTATCAAAATTTGGAATTTTTTGTTATATACCTTAACTATTTCATTCTAAAATTTTCTTTTTTTTTTTTTCTTTGATAAATCCATTTTTATGATCATTTAGCTATTCGATCATCTTTCTATCCATTAAATTTACATAAGGAAATAGCTAAATGGATTTAATTATTAATAGATATTTTAAATTTACTAAACGTATATATAATAACTGTTACTTTTTCTTTTGCATTCATTTTTTGATTTAAGCGAAATAAATGTCGACTAAAATGAGAGCATATTTATTGCATACATTTAGTTGTCAAACTTTTTACCCTTAGGAAGAGTAAAAGATTAATTATTATTTCAACAATTATAATCCATTACGAAATTACTTATCCTGTTCTATGAATTATACGGATCATTTCCAAAAATTCATTCATTAATAGGAATCATTTCCGGAAATCTTTATTACTCATCACTAATAAGTTCGACAAATCCATTCAAGATTGAATTCGAATAGATTTTATCAAATAGCCAAACATTTCTAATGATACAATAAGTTTGCAAAAATCTTTAAGTTTAATTTACATATTAGGATGGTATGCATTGTTAATTTAGATGAATCATTAAAAATATAATTTGTAAAAAAAAGCAAGTTAACACTTAGCAATTGTTTATGAATTTTTATTCAATTTTACTTTCTAAATGTCACATCTAAAACAAAACGATTTTTCGTGTTGTTTTTTTTTTAAATTGATTCGAAATTTTCAAACACTTTTAAAAACTAAAGTCCAAATTTGAAGAAGTTTAGTTTACAACAACAATACAAATCATTTTTGGAACAATTCTCAAAGACATTTGAAATTCCAATTTTTAAATTTCATTTAAACTACACAGCATTAGAATTCTCATCCATTGATTGAATCGGCTCTTTGATTTTTCTTCATTTATTTTTCAATTCTAATCGGAATATCAGTTCCTTTTTTTGTTTTTTGTTTCTTTTTTTTTTCTGCTATTGTGTGAAGAATTGAAAGCGACCTGTTTCATTTCCTTTCTTAAAATTTCCTGATTTCAATGTTTAATTTTCTTTTTTTTTTTTGGAACATCATATATTTTCGGGATTCTTTTCAACCAATGAAAGTTCATTAATCGTTGTAATGTTGTTCTTATCAGTTATCAATGGCTTGAATTGCCTTTTGAAGACAAGTGATAGAGAAATAAAATTTGAAGTAGTGTTACATGGTGTTTTACTTTGCATTATGTCATATTTCATGCGACTAATGGCATCAGTTATCACCTTCATCACTACCAAATTAAAATTGACAAATAAAAGCTGTAGAAATGAATAATTTATTAGAACGAATTGCAATAAGCCACTAATAACTAATTTTAATGAGGGAGGATTTTTCTCATCCATTATCATTGATAATTACGTTGTTTAAATATCAGCAATGTACAATGATGAAAAGTATTCCAATGATAACCCTTAGTGACCAGTCATCTGAAGTTGACAGTTAACCAATCGAGAGCTGCTAAAAGTTGGTCTTTTTGAAATTGCAGGAGAAAGTATCGAAGAATTCAACATCAGCTACACTATACAGTATTTCGATTTTTGAAAATAGTTGAAAAGATGAAAAATTCATCATTTGGATATCTCATAAGATGGATTGATTAATCAAAAAAAAAAATCGTTCTTATAAAATTTGTCGTCTTCTTCCACTCTTCCAATATTGAAATACTTATTTTATTCGATGAATAAATGACATACGACAAAAATTGGGTTGTTTAAAAACATCTAATGGGACTATCTGGGCGCAAAAAGTAACTCTAAAAATTCAAAACTAGCAAACCTATGACATCAATAAATGCTCAAGAAATGAATGAAATTAATAGAAAAAGCGCAAATCTCCATGATAATATATTCATCGGAGAGGTCAAATGGGTTGACTACAAAGTTTTCCTTATAATCTATCTATAGAGGAAGTATTTTCACAACTAATAACATACCGAAATTTTTTAATTTCTAAGATTTTTTTATTTCTCCTTTTCATTCTAAAAATTTATTCAATCATATTTATAAATATAAAGAAGCTAAAATGCTAAAATTATCTTAATTCTATGATTTTTCTACTTTTAATTGACAACAATATGTTTATATTTATTATATCAGTTTTAAATTTTTGAAATTCCATTACACCAGTTTTGAAATTTCCCATCTAAAAACGTAATTTACATTTATCTCAATTAAATTTGTCACTTTCAAACTTGATTCATTCTTATTCCTATTGATAATGGAAAATTATCAGGCTGATTCCTTTTTTTTATCAGGATGATTCCGGGGAAGTTATCAGGATGATTCTTCCGGAAAGTTATCAAGATAATTCCTTCCTTTAAATTTTATTTTTCAAAATTATTCATTGTATTCAATACTCATTTCTTTTCTCTTTTTATTCTCCCATTATCTTTATTTTAAATTCATTCTTATTTCTTCAATTTTATTACTTTCGGTCTCCGTTTTTTCTTTTTTTTTTTGTATCAGTGTTTTTTTTTTTTATTACTCACAGTATATACCGGACATTTTTCAAGAATTATCGGAAAAAAAAAAAGGGAAATCGGAATGCGGTGATGCATTTCATTATGTTCTAATTATAAGTTAATTTTCATTTTGA